TCCTGTAAACAGTTCATATGGGGTCTTGTCCTGAACACGACTCGGTCCGGTACGATTGAGAATGTATACGGCTACGTTGACAGCTTCCGCCCATAAGAACTTCGGCAAATTCTTGGATAATAGCATCGTACGAGCAAGTTCAACCACAGTTCGATTGGTACGCTCAGCACACCCATTTTGTTCTGGGGTATAAGGGTTTGAAATTGCTAGTGTGACGCCATTCGATTTTAACAGTTTCTGGACCGCTTCATTGTCAAATTCCAAGCCTCCGTCGCACTGAAAAATTTTAACTGATCTTCCGCATTGATTTTTCACGACTTGCAACATCTCATTGATCTTTTCAACAGTTTCAGACTTCTTCTTCAAGAAATAAACGATGCGTAGCCTTGAATAGTCACACGTGAAACACACAAAGTATTTTGACCCGCCAAGTGACGTCGTTTTCATGGGACCACACAGATCGGCATAAATAACTTCACCAGGTGATTCAGCACGTAGTTGACGTAGTTGAAAAGCTGTTTCGGTGTTGCTTCCCCTCAATGCAGGAACCACAAAACTGATTATCGTCGAAAAAGTCGTTCTGATTTTTCACGAAAAATTTTTTTACATGAATTTTATTCTGGTGGCCGAAGCCTTCGTGCCATACGTGTAGAGAGTCTTTTGATGCCAAGTTGACCCCTCCTATGCATGCCTTTTCAGGCGGTCTCACACGAATTACCACCTTGATTAACACGCACTCCGCGAGCTTTGATAATACCGTCTTTTACAAACTCACAACCGTCCTTCGAAGAACTGAATTTCATGCCCTTGTCCAAAACTGAAATTACCGAAAACAAGTTTCGACGAGCAGCCGGCACAAACAACACATTTTCCATTTGTCCTGGTAACCATTTTCCGTCAACTAGAGTTTCAATCTTGATTGTTCCTTTTCCTAGGGCGTCCATTGTAGTTTTATTTCCAATATAGATCTTCGCTGGTGTACTGAAATAATCAAACAATGTAAACAAGTCACTTCGGTTTGTCACGTGATCCGTTGCACCGGAATCCACTATCCACGAATCATTGTCGAGCTCAGCTGTCATGGCTTCGCAAACAAAAGCTTCTTCTCTCGGATTGCTATCTTGCGTTTTCTTCTGTTTCCTAGGACAATTCTGACGAAAGTGCCCCTTTTCTCCGCAATTGTAGCACTTATAGTTCGACTTGCTTTTTCCTTTTTTCATTAAGCTTTGACTCACTTGATTGTTGTGACTGTCCTTTCTTAGCGTTACCACTAGTATTTCCGCGATCTTGTCTTTTAGATTTGCTCGCCACTAGTGCAGCCATCTGTTCCTGCTTTCCGACTCAAATCTCCCGGCGTGCGTCGTCAGAGGTTAATACCTCAAGCAAATTACCGAACGTTTGCTGATTCTCTGCTCTTGCCCACCATGCCTGGCGAAAACTCTCGTATTCCTCTGGCAATGTATCCAGCAACTTAACCGATAGCGATAATTCGTCCGGCTTTACATTTAATTGCTGCATGCGTAGGATTAGTCCCTCAAATTTGGAAATATGAGTCACCATGTCGTCCGACGGATCCATGTTGAAATTGAAAAATTCCGATTGGACAGTATGCGAAGTTTGTTTTGTCTGTTGTTCATAAATCGTGTGTAACTTCAGCCACATATCCCGCGCAGTCTCACATGAAACCATCAGAAGCGCTATTACTTTCGTATCCAGCGTCTTAACTATGATTTGACTCGCGGCACGATCGGCTTTATCCCACTTTTTGAGACCTTTTCGATACTGTTCTTGTTGCTGAGTTGCCGCATTCGTCGGCAGCAGATTTGGTTTTAGAATTTCACCGATGCATACTTCGTATGCATTTTCCGTTCCACGCAGCAAATTCCACGGCGAACTTCCAGACGTCCCAATTATCCGCGCCACGAAGCTTCTCGATTCCTTGATATTCCATCTTCCGGTCGTTTCCTCACAGGACACAAAGACAATGTCAATGCGTTTTCCGCATTTACGCCCGTACACGAGATCTTCGCTCACGAGACAACGCCCACGATAAACCGCGCTTTCCGGTAACTGTAACCTCGTTCACGGCAAAACACGTTCACGGCGAACCACGCTCTGCTACCATGTTAGAATAATCAGGTGTGGACAAAGAAACGTTTTATTTGGTTATTGTACACCGTTTTCGGGAACGTATATAATATCGTGAACGCGCGACTTGAATGTGTTAACGTTGCGCCGTGTAACTAACTAAAAAAAACCCCAGGTAGCATTAATGTCTAAAAGACATCATAAAAATGTCTTTAAGATGCCAGAAATCTTAAAGATGTCTTTATGATGTCTTTTAGACATTAATTGCTACCTGGGACTATACTAGACGCGCGTGCTGCCACAGGCAACAACCAAGTGGGGACAAAGAGAATGATAGCATGCGCTCAGGACTGCCAACCTAGACATTACAAAACACTTCTAGAGGCAACTCAGAATTTAAGCGTTTTTCCGTTTTATCTTAACAGCTATACCCTAAGAGCACAGTTGACGGAAAGTCGACGGCAAGTTGACTTTTATAAGTCGACTTTTAGTCGACTTCTAAAAATGACGGAAAGTCGACTAAAAGTCGACTTCTAAATAGTCGACTTATAAAAAGACGGAAAACAGTCAAGCGGCGCGTCATGCATCATCAATATGGCGGCGAATCTCAAGGAGGCTAGAGGAACAGAGCTTACGCGAAGAGTCCGCCTTGAGCCGGCGTCCAGTACGGACGTCGGCTCATGTGCCATACATTTGGATCCACTGAAGAGACCTTGTGGCGGGCTCCATTTTGTGTCTATAGTGTTCATTTATGTTGTCAAAGTTTCTTTCGTGATTGTTTCTTAACCACTTAGAGAAGATACATTCTTGTGTTTAATGTGTACTAAGATTAGCATCTTTACTGAACATATTGTAAAGAGCAACTTTGTCTTGGTGCAATGGAACTGAGTGATCTTCTTTCGTTAAGATAAGTTATATATGGACAATTGAGACCAATTACAGATTATTATCGCGAATATTAAAATTTGTTAGACTTTTTTAGTTCTAA